AACGCGTGCTGTGGCAAAAACGGTGTGATCGGTTATTGGATACAATCTTATGCGAGTATTGCTGTGAGGAAAAAGATGACGCCTTTGCCCGAGGTCAAGGGTTGGACTGGATCCCTAACAATTGCAATGACTGTCGTCTAGTTCGAAGCATTTTCGAACAAACCGTCACCCAACAGGAATGTCACGACCCCCTACTGTATGCCGATGATGAACCCCACACGATGTGGGCTTGGACGCCTTTCTCTTACCCTAAACAATGTGTTTCATTTTTTGACAGACCATGCCGCTGACTATTTACACGGGAGGCGCCAAAGGCGTGGAAACGCATGTGGAACGATTATGTCACCTGTATGGTCATGTGTGTGTGGTCCTCATCCCACCCTGTCACCCTCGAGCCAAGTCCCTCACGCCCTTGACGCAAACGGAGTTGGACGCCGCCACCCCCACCGTTACCCAGGCAGCGTTTCGATTGGGTCGACAAATCCATCATCCCATCAGCCTCCAGTATATCCAGCGGAATGTTCACGTGATCCAGCCGGCGTCCTTAGTCTTGGCGGTGGGCTATTTTGACGAGTTGCGCAAGCATGTGTTGGATGGAACAGGATGGAGTGTGGTCATGGCCCAGCTCTTAGGCAAACCCCTCTATGTCTTTGATTTGGATAGGGAACAATGGTTTTGGTGCAATCCCACCTCCCAAGACTATCAACCATGTGAAGGCATGACCGAGGAACTCATTGCTCTACCCACCCTCCAAGACAAGACTGCCATTGTAGGCACGCGGGAAGAAGACCAAGCGGTCTATCCCACCCTGGAGGCTTTATTCAAAAACAAATAAAAAAAAACACTGCTATAGAACATATCACTTGTTTTAATGTATATCAATGACAATAAAATTCATGGCTGACATGACATTCATGATCAAGTCCAAGCGTTTCATGACTTTGTCCACCGTATCGTATGAGGCTTTCCTCCTGCCAATCATGACGGGGCGTTGTCCAATGGGACACTGGGGGATCCGATACTTGAATGTGACAATCACAAACGCAATGCCCTCGTTCATCAGGCGGTCGAGATTGGGGGTTTGACGCGCCATTTCCACCATCATGCCAATCTGAAACCCAGACACAAAAAAACGCTCAGTCAACCAACAAAACAAAACAAGCAAAGGACACTTTTCCCCTTACCGATAACCGGTGATCCATGAGGCGGTGGCAGTGGTGGCAGCCATTTTTTCGGGGCGCGTGCAACCGCACCACCACCTGGTTCCACCAACGGTCCTCGCCCAGATGTTGAGGCAACCCTGTGGGGTCGCATTTGGGCAACCCTTTCAACTCGCGCACCACCTTCTTTCGCTGGTCCATGGTGTAGAAACAGTGCACCCAAAACATGATCTTGACCTGGACTTCCAAGGGGAGCAAACGGCCAAATGGCTTGTTCTGTGGATCGACCAACCCTCGACAGTCCATCTTGACAGAGCAACACGAGGCGACTGACCTCTCTACGTGGTGTTCCCCTTATTCATCTTCTGGTGTCCACCAATCACACACTCGCGCTAGACCCCTCTGGTCCAGGGATGAAAAGGTGTACCCATGGGGGTACCCCCTAGAGTCTCCTCTCCTTCATAGCATCCCACGTGATGGCTCTCCACCAATCAGATCCGCTCGTGGAGTCTCTAAATCACGTTGCGCGCCCTGTGTGGGTTCATTCCAGTTTGATCCGTGTGACTGATCAAGATGTTGAGCTCGCTCCAGTCCATTGTGCTGTACTCGGTACCTATTGCGGTCCTGTTCGATATGTTGAAGTTGTTGTGCCACCTGCCGAATGGTCGCGAATGCCTGTGCGCCTTGTTCCGACGCTGCACCCATGAGGAGCTGAGGGATTGGGCCAAAACGTTGCCGTGGGACCATCCTGTCGCCCGGAAACTCGATCATGAGGTGCATCGCCGTCGCATGGCTGGTGAGTGTTATGGCTTTGATTTTTTTCGGGTGTGGGTCCCTTTGCCTTATACCTTTTTTGATTCCTAGACGTGTTCAAGGGGTTTGAGTTTCTACGAACCGTGCTGTGGCCTGTCCACCTGTGTCTTTGCCCTCAACGAGCTCGACTCAATTGGGCCGCGCGGTTTTGGGTTCCAACCTGTTCGTGTTAATTTTTTAGATTCCTTGGATTTTATGGAGAATCAGCCAGTGTGTCACATTTACCAGTGGGTCGCTCATCCCACTTATGGCGGAGTGTGCAACCATTGTGAACGCATGATGGACGGGTTAAGACTAGATGACGTCATTGCCGGCAACAGGGAGGGGTCCCTCACGGAAGATGATGTAGTCGAGTTTGTGCAGAATGGGGACCCCAACCATCGGGACTGGGACGATTGGCCCCTACGTATGACCTTCCGGATCAATTCGTTTCTCCGGGCCCAGGGTCCTGTGGGTGAACCGGAGTTAGTCCTGTTAGAGTTTTTAGATGATTAATTTTTAATTTTTTTACAGCCACGCATTGCCTGTTACGTCATCACACGCAATGGATCCGCCCTTTGCAATCCGGTTTCTTTCGTACCAGTATTCCCATCTTGATTCGTCTGTCCACCTCTTTGTAGGCTTTCATTATACGTTAAACCAGTACGGAGGATGGATTAGACCCGTGCAATTGCGATGCCATTATAGTACTGTTAGATGTGTAATCAGTCTTCATGAAACGTTTCAGATGTAAATGCCATGATTGAACATTATGGGAACGGTGGTTGGATCCGAGACCGTATTGCTTATTTACTCATGGGCTTACAACATTATTATTATTAATTTTTCGTAGATTCGCATACCATTCTCAGCACCCACAGGGTTCACGGTACCTCCGCTGCATGGTGTTTCCTCGGCAGTATTGTGCAGTGGTACACTGGATCAGGGGTCCCTCTTCCATTTCCGAGACCCATCAAATTACTTTGTTGTCGTTGTTATTTGAACTTTCGTCTTGCCAGCGATTTACACGTGTCCTGTTATTGGTGCGAGATGTTGCAAGGCATGGGGTACCCACCCCGTCCTTAAAACATGTTTTTTTTTTCCTTTTTCAGATTCTCGTTTTGTCATACGAGCCATTTATCTCCCTTCCCTTTTTCAGCCATTGCCCAGGTGATACACCAACACACGAGGAACCTCCAAAATCTGACGGGGAGATTATATTTTGTTTGCAAACGTTGTTGGATTTATGTACGGCACGTGTCCACCCTCTATGAACCCTGTCGGGGCTGTGCGATGATGGAAAGCATGGATTGGGAATTCTGAACACCCGGCAGGGGGAGGTCTGCATGGTGGCGCCACCCCTGCTGGATGTTCATGATTTTTTTTTTTAAATTCCATTAGATTCCCATTGGATTATCCAACGGGTGATGATTTTCCAAAGCTGGCCCATCCCTCATAAACTTTGTATCGTCAATCATCAAGGATGGTCCAGCTTACTCTATTTGTTCAAACGTTTTTCCCAGAAACGCATTGGATCCTAGAGCATTTTGATTTCACGCAAGACTGGATGTTAATAGAATTGTTTTGTATACAATCCTTCCAGGGCGTGACACCACGAGGGCGTCACACACGTCCCATTTTGTAATTAAGTCTTTTTTGTCTTCTAGTCAATCATTGGACAATAAACCACCGCCTTGTGCGTAGCAATGGTCGACTTTTTCTCATTCAGTTTGCTTCTTGGCTCTAACCACCCTCCTTCCGATTCGTTTCAGACATCTTTTCCACGTTTAAATTCCATTTAATCAAACCATGGTCAGGGCTCAATTTCAACCATTACGTTTCATGGCCTCATCCATTGCTCATGACGACTGCCGCCAGGAAGCAAACACCCTATCTTCATTGTGTATTGATGTAAAAAAAAAAAAAAAGGGCGTGACGTCACTCGGACGTCACACATGTCCCGGATGTAATTTAGGTCACTGTCGAGACTTGTTTTTTGTATTAAATGATGTTGACCTCCATACAGTGTGTTTTTTATTGACTTCCGGTGATGCGAGGGGACTGGGGCTGAATTGCGCATGCGTCCCGCTTGTACCCAGGCTTTACTCGAGATGTGTTCATTAAAACTATGTGAAGAATGTGGATCAACCTCTTGTGTGTGCGTGTTCTTTTCCCCATGGGGTCACGTGAACATGGATGCCCAAATATGGGCATTGTGACGTCAATTTGGTCACATGGGCTAAATGCTCGATTCTGATTGGTGGATCAAATTTTTGCTGCGCTCTGATTGGTTAGGACCTATTGTAGCCTATATGACTACTACCCGGGATCCTATCTTATGGTCTTTAAGATCAGGTTTGATCTTGTTAACTTTCTCGTTTTGCGGTCTGTCATTTTCCTTCTCCTCCACCTCTACGCAGTCGTTGGAGTCAATACATTGTAGGTGTCTTTCTATTTCAATACTTGCATTTAAAATTTCTAGATCTTCAGAGTCTGAGATTACAAATTCGTCCTCGTCAACACTCCCAACATCGCTTTTAGCCTGCAGGAGCACTAAGGAATGCAGTTTCGTGGAAAAGTCTTTAATAGACCTTTTCATCCTCAGAGATATCCAATTTACTACCCCGTCAAGCACATCATCTTTTTGGATGGATTTCAGATTAAAGAGCACCAATAACCCTGAGTCTTTACCTCCGACCTCTTCATGTACTTTGTGAGTATCAATTATGATGAAAGTTGAACGTACCACGCCTACCAGAATAGCATATGGGTTACATGTATAAACTGCAAAAGCCTTTCCCTCTGCATTTTTAGACTTTTCTAACGATTTCAATGCTGATTTCAAATGCCTCTGCTTGTCTTCAAGATTATCCGATGACTGCTTCGCCAAGATTTCAGTGGTGGTGTATTGCGTGTTTATAATTGCATGCTGGGTCATTATCTGCAATGCATCGTATACATCTGCATAGTCGCTAACCTTTCTCAAGTGGTTGACACGGTTCGGAAGGGATCGTATGGTTTCTTCCGCCACGTTTTGGATTAAAGAAGCTATTTTATGAGCAGAAACTTCTTCACATTTGAGGAGTTCGTGGGCGATTTTAGTGCAAAGATAGACGCAGGAATTGCTTCCATCGCTTGCTTGAAAGTTACTTGCAAGGTCATTTTAAGATCTTCTGATATCGATTTGTTCTGAGAAGTAAAAGAGCTAACGGCCTCATCCATGAGCTCCACTGCCATTCCCTGATGATTACTCAGTGGTACAAACAGTGTATCTGGATTTTCGTCACTCCACTGTTCAAACGTCTTGTAGTTATTCCCTGGTTCCGGACCACAAATAGACATCATCGCATGATGAGCGTCTGTTGCCGATGGTCCCTTGGAAGGATCCTGATCCCAGCAGGCACGAAGAAGCCTCATCCACTGTCTGGCACTGTCGTCACTCAACCCTGTTAAGTTTTCCTCAGTAACAGCTGGTCGTTCTCCTTTACGTATGTAGTCATAGTTGAGAGCGGAATTAGCAAGTTCTCCCTCCCAAGGAGTTGAGCGATCTGGCAAACTGAATTCCGTCATAACCATCCCGAGGCTGTACATATCGCTTTGAAAGGATGGTTTTGTCCCTCTTTGCAGAAGTTCAGGTGCTGTGTATGCTGCGGTACCCATGACAACATCATTATTAGAAGGCAAGATTGATACGGAAAACTGTTCGAAATCAAACCGAGCCATACCAAAGTCGCCTAGTTTCACCTTGTATTTTCCCTCTCCGTCGTCGCCGATGAATGCATTTGCTGCTTTGAGATCACAGTGGACGATGTTATGGTTATGAAGGAATGCAAGTCCAGAGGTCACCCCATGCATGTTATGCAAGCGAATGGACCAAGGCACTGGTTGTAGTTCATGGAGGTCCAGTAATTCTCTTGCGTTATGGACCTTCGTGACCTCTCCCTCAATTTTGATTTCCTTTTCCAGTAGTTCGGTGACAAGAAGTGATCGAGTAAAATCCACCCCGAAATGATAAAGGATGTTGGGATGTCGCAGGCTTTTTAGACACTTAATTTCCTTTAACAATTTTACCTTATGCTTGGGGGTGATGTTAACCATATATTCTTTACACGCAACTTCTGTGATAGAACCCGTATCCCGGTGAAATTGACCTTTGAAGACGCGTGACGTAGAACCAATTCCTATCTGATCCCGTCCTAATTCCACTTTCGTTGGATCTAAGGTAACGTCATCTCCCCCCGTAGTGATCCTTCTATTCTTTTCCTTTGTTTGTGGTTGGAGTAGTATAGGGGGTCTAGTCCCGCACAAATCGGAGCACATTTTTTTCGGACACCGCGGACATCACACGTGATGACAGCGTGAGAGTTACACGTGAGTCACTTTTTCCAAACACGTGAGTTTCATGTTTAGGGTTAAATCTCAGTCGAGTGAGTTTTCCAAAACCTAACTAAATTAAATTTCCTAAACTAACACAAATGTTTACTTTTATGTTTAGGGTTAAATTAGTGGGGCGCAGTGTTTACGGTTAAATCTGTTGAGTGAATGTCCTAACCTAACTAAATTTCCTAACCTAACTACAGCGGAAGTGTGTTATGGAACGGCTTGCCTCTGGAGGTGCGGCAATTGACATCCCCTAGTATATTTAAGGGAAAATTAAGAGACGTAAATTTCGATTGACAAATGATTTAATTAGCGATTTTCTGTTTTTACACACGGCCTCCTTGAGAAGCAGGTGTTTTCTTTTCATCTTTATTATTTTAGTTTTTATCTTAGATTTTAGATTAGTTAGGAAGTTAGTTCTTCTATACTTCACTGTAAATGTATACCTGAAGGAAATAACGTGTTTAAATAAAGTTACCTTACCTTACCTTACCTTACCTTAAATGTCCTAACCCAATGTTTACTTTTATGTTTAGGGTTAAATCAGTCGGGCGCAGTGTTTAGGGTTAAATATTTGTCCTAACCTAACTAAATTTCCTAAACTTACTAAATGTCCTAACCTAACTAAATGTCCTAACCCAATGTTTACTTTTATGTTTAGGGTTAAATTAGTGGGGCGCAGTGTTTAGGGTTAAATCAGTCGGACGCAGTGTTTAGGGTTAAATCAGTCGGGCGCAGTGTTTAGGGTTAAATCAGTCAAAAAATTTCCTAACCTAACTAAATTTCCAAAACCTAACTAAATTTCCTAACCTAACTAAATGTCCTAACCTATCTAAATTTCCTAACCCAATGTTTATTTTTATGTTTAGGGTTCAGGTCACACTTGAGTGATTATGGGCAAGTTTGAGCAAGCCCATTGACGTCACACTTTGTTTTTGCTGACTCAGTTTTAGTTTTGTAACTAAGTTTTCCAAAACCTAACTAAATGTCCTAACCCTAACCCTTTTCCTAAGCTAACCTAATGTTTAATGTCGAGGGTTAAACAAGTTAATTCCATCACGGTTTATGTTTGTGATGTGTACTAAATTTCACAAGGTCACGGTTGAGTGATTACGGGCATGTTTAGGCAAGCCCATTGACGTCACGTACATTTTGTTGACTCAGCAGAATTTGTTTCTATTTTTAGAACTTGACATCATTTTATAATAACACAAGGTATAAAAGCCGGATATCTATAACCATACTCATTTTATTACGATACGTTGTAGTGAACGGAGCTCTCATCATGGCAATTACTTACCCACGTCCCTGTCCGACCTGTGGAACCAAAATTAACAATCGAAGTAATTTCTCAAGACATAGAAAACATTGTGAGAAGAAAGTAGATCCTGTTCCATGTCCACACTGTCAGTCCACATTTACAAGAAAAGACGACATGTTAAGACATGTTCGCAAGTTCCACTCCGAAGCGGCCAAGCGGAAAGCAGAAGAGTCTGCCGAACTATCCAAGCTGGAATTATTACATGCAACCAAAGTCCCACGTTTAAGTGTAGAAGAACAAGTAGGTGGTGCGGTGAGCATCCGTGGAGCAAAACGCCCCACTGAAGAGTCCAATTCTGATGTCAAAGAGTTAAAACGAGAGGTGAAACAACAAGAGGAAAATGAAAAGTACAACGAGGAATCTACTCCGCTCTTTGTAGCCAATGTGACGAAATAAGGACCAGCCAAAAAATGGAAACAAAATGTACTAGTGAACCAGAAATTCATGATGACCTTAGACCAGCAACGCTCTCCTAAAGAGTTAGAAGATTTGAATATCGCTGCAACCCACGCCATTGCAGAAGCTACAGATAAGCTAATTGAGGAACTCAAAATACCAGAGGACTATTGGATGTCTTTGCAAATTGGGAGTAAAGAACATCAAAAAGGAGGATTAACAGGAGAAACATGGCGAGTAGACGTAGGAGATTTTACGAAGCGAGCAGCCATGACTCAAGCTGTTTTACAAAATCTTTCACAGGTTTTAACCAGCGGCGAATTTATTACAAATGATGTTGGTTTTTCAGCATCAGTATTATTCAGCCGACCGGAACGAAAAGGAGGTAAACGAGCAGGAGCAGGTCCAGGTCAAAAAATATGGGAGAAAATGGCTAAAGAATCCAAGTGTGTCTGTGAGATTAAAAACAAGGATTCTCTGTGTTGTGCTCGCGCTATCGTGGTGATGCGTGAATATGCAAGACGTCAAGCGGGTGAAACTAATACCTTTGAGAATATTCGACAAGATCGAGGAAACAACTCCCAACAACTCAAAGAGGCGAAGAAGTTACACCGAGAAGCAAAAGTGTCAGAAGGATTATGTGGATTAGAAGAAATTAATTCATTTCAAGAGTATCTGGGACCAAAAGGATTTAGAATTATTGTGGTGGATGCCACTCGGGGTGGTGTGATTTTTGAAGGAGACAAGTACGAAGACGAAAACAAAATCATTGCTTTGGTCAAGTCAGTGCATATGGATAAAAACAACCAAGAGAAAGCGCATTACGATGGTTTATACAGCATCCCCGGATTTATGAACAGAAGCTATTTCTGCAAGAAATGTTGCAAAGGGTACAATAGCGAAGACAGCGCCCATCATCGATGCCAAGCCAAAAATTGCCCAGCATGTAAAAGAAACAGCGAATGATGAAGACGGATGTCAAGATTTTACCTTATGGGGACAACCAGATCGTAGTTGCAGAATATGCAGACGTGAATTCTATGGGGAGCAATGCTTTAGAGCTCATTTCATTCAAACTGTCAAAGAAGACAAAGACATAAAGAAAACAAGAGAGGAATTAGAACGACAACTCCATGAACAATTGACCCCCATCCTGGAACTGAAAAGTACCTGTCGAGACTTTCAACGATGTGTCAAGTGTATGGTGACTTACAAGGTCAACAAGGATTTACCCCACAAATGCTTGCATGCACAGTGTAAACATTGTCTGGAGTTTGTTCCTATTTACGAGCATAAGTGCTGCATTACCAGTGAGGAAGAACAGAAGTTTAAGAGAACCTTGCAAAAATTAAGAAAAAAGAAGAAGACAAAAGAAGAAGTGTTGGGAACTATTGTTGAAGGATTGCCTGATCAATCCACACAAGACATGATCGATGTGCTAATTGCTCAACGGAAGAAAAAATTAAAGGATTTAGAGTATATCAATATGGGAGTGCCAATGGCTGAAATCCAATTAGGAGATTTACAAAAAAAAGTCATTGAAGATCTGTTGGAGGAGGGGGTACCACCGGAAGAGATTACTCTAGAATTGGTCAACGAGCGATTACCGAAAGAAAGACCGTCAAAGAAGATTGTTGTTGATGATTTGATCTTTGCTGATATTGAATGTCTGATTGACAGCAGTAAAACCTTTATCCCAATCCTGATCTGTTTTACTAAAGGACGTGACAAAACC